AATCACCCCCTGCGGTGATAGTGGTGCTGATAAGAGCAGACACCCCTACCATCCGGGAGAGGCTCCATCTATTGGTGGGGAGCATCACCTGCTGGAAAACGGGTCCAGCGTCCCAAACTCATACAGGAAAATAAGACACTGTGATACACATAGTCATCATGGCTGTTGTCCGGCCCCTCTCAGCTGTGTCGCTGTCAGGTGGACCCTACCGGTAGGGGCATATGGAATGTTTTTGTGCTGGTACTCGACAGCTATCGGGTAGGGGCATACTGCAAATTAGGAATGGGTACCGGTAGGGGCATAACATAAAATTTTCAGGCCCAACCGACACCGGGGTTTTATGGGAAACTTGAATCGTGTTCAGAGGGGCGCTGTCGGAGGGCACGGTGTCCCGGCCCTCCGTCGTGTGCCGAATGCCTACTCACGTGTCTCCGCTGCGGATCAGGTATCTGCTCACATACCTCTGCCGCATGGTCAGTCCAGTTGACGCTACCACCGGCAAAATGGTGGGTGCACCACTGGACTTTCCTTTGGTCCACGCAGCCACGGCGCCCTGCTGTACAGTAGAGCATGACCGGCCTGTGGCCGTGGTAGCCGCTGGGTTCACCCAGGGACAACTGCCATTTCGTCAAAATGGACATCTTTTATTTTTTGAACGAAATTGAAACCGAGTTTTTTGGCCGAAAACTCGTCAAAAGTTGCTGTTCCTGAGGGTTCGGCATTTGTAAAACGCTGGACCCCCTGGTTGTACATGGACCTAGCTTGAGACCAGGGACATCCAGGCAGGTGCCTTGTTCTCGTCGAGTTAGAACACTAGCCCAAAAAACTTCAAACATCTACAATACTATAAGAATCGCTATTTCTTATCGTACGGCCTGAATCGCAGGCCGGTACCGTTACTGCGGACGGCCCAGATCGCAGGCTGATGAGAAAACTTTCTCATCGGCCTGCGATCTGGGCCGTCCGCGGTAACGGTACCGGCCTGCGATTCAGGCCGTGAGATATCGGTACCTGAGGCGCTCGTTCGCCTGCCCGTCGGCCCGT